CATCATTCATGAACCTCCAACCAGGGAATGCATGCCGCTGTCTTTGTTTCTGCCTACGCAATAAACCCCGATGAAGGGGCTATCGCCCCAAACACCCCTTCCACCCCGCCGACCCTCACCCCTTAACCCCTCATCCTGAACCCCCACGCCCCCCCTTTAATTCAATAATTTCTCCCTTGGGTAAGTGCCCCCACCCCCCCCCCCCCCCGCAACAACCCCCTAATCTACCTCCAAATATTTTTGCAAGCCCTATTTTAAAGAATTGAACGTTTCCCTTCCCTTTTTAATATTTCTTTAAACCTTCTTTAGCCACACCACCCCCCACACACCACATCCCTACCTCATTTTTCCTGCACAACCCCCCCACAGCGTTGCAAATCCCATCCCCCTCATCACCTAAACACTTGTATTTAAATTTTTAAAATCCCCTAGAATACCGCCAGTGACTCCCCCCCACCTTGCACACCGCCCGATGACCAATAACTACTTTTTATTGTACGAAAAATTTTCAACCCAACCCCTTGAGAATAACAGCCTATCCAACCCAGCACGTAAAACCCCCTCTACAAAAAATGTCCCCCCTCCCACGCCCCTCCTCCAAAAAGCACCCCAACTGAATATCCCCAAAAAAATCCGCAAGGGCCCCTGACACGTCCCCGCCCCTTTTTGGGTTTCCCCTCAGCCCCCTAAAAACGCAGTTTCCCGTCCCCACCAACGACGGCCACTGCGTAAACCACGTAAGAAGAAAACATTTCTTCACATACAAAATCCCTTTTTCCCTCACATCTTTCCGCTGGTGCATACACACATACAAAGATACCCTGTCCCCTCCACCACCCCTCCACGCCAAAACCTTTCCCCCCCCCCCCCCTCATTCTTAGCAACAAAACGGGCTTCTCCCCCGATCAATATACCCACACCCCCCTTTTAGCGTGCAGATGGCAATCATGCCTGAAAACCCTCCACCCCGAGCACTCTTCCTCCTTAAATTGGTTCTTGCAGGGAAAACTACATCCACCCTATATTTATACAGAAACATCGAAACCATTTCCTTTTTCACACTGTTTTCACAGTCCTTTTTCGTCACTCATACACCCCAAAGGGCCCTTTTAGTTTTCCCCCAAACCCCTTCCTCCTCTCTTCATCATCCCAGGCCTCCTGCCCCAAGCCGCACAAGGCTTACAAAAACCCTCAAACCCCCCCCCCCTTTTTTTCGATGCCCTTTCGTACTGCTTCGACATTGCTCTTCCTCCTCCCAGACCTCTGCGCCGGGGTCAGGGCATCTGATCTGACGCCCGCCACTCTCTTCCCCGTGATGCCCTCTACACCTGTTATCTTCTGAGTTCCCTCACGTGAACCTCAACCTCCCCACGCCCCCTTCCAAACACACGGGGACAACTCTCCTTACTAGTTGGCCCCTCAACCCTGCATGTTTTTTTTTTTCCTTACATTCCTCTACACAACGCCGGCCCTCACCACTCAGGAAAAACACCTCTCAGGGGTTTTAATGTTTCCAACACTTCCCGAAGCCTTTCCCCTAGAGCCTGCACCCCTCCTGCCTTGCACTTTTGTACTTTTTCCCTTTTTTGGGATAACAATCCTTTTTCATCACAGCTTACCTCACACATCCAGTCCCTCTTTGGAACCTCCACCTCTCACCCACAAGCGCCCAGGCCCTTGCTTTCGCACGGGCTCTCAAAAAAGCTATCAGCTGGTAACTGGTGCTTTAGCAGTTTGCGCTGGCGCCCCTCACTTCACGCACCCCGCCATATGGTCGTCGCCCCACATATTGCAAAGTACTCCTGTCCCGCAACGAACCTAACTTGCGTCCAAGTCCTCCAACACGACTAAGACGGTATGGGATGTCTCGAGTCATCTTCAGGGAAAAGGTACCCTCCGGACGTCCCATGTAACACCGCCGCCATTTTTCCCTTTTTTTGGCCCGATGTACGGTTCCAATGTCTCAAAAAAACTCCTTATGTCATCATCTGCCCCAAAAGGACATTAGTACTTAACCCACGTAAAAGGGGGAGAACGTCGATCAAACGCACCTTAAGCTGGAGTAGCGTCAAGACTCACGTCTTGAATCTCGTCACCAAAGACTCAACCGGACTGGAAATTATTTTACGAAGATTTTATAAGCCCCATTCAGGCTACAAACCCTACACCTCATCGCCCGGATTCCATAGGTCTCCCTAATGATTGTTGGGAGTAAAACTTTCACTGAAGAGGGTGAATCGCCCCACAAGCAGCTCAAACCAAAAGGTATTACGCGCCCCTCACACCAGCGCCAGTTTATACAAGGGGAGCTCCCTAAAAAAAGGGGAAAGGGTGCAGCGCAAACCTCCTCGACCTGGCAGGCAGCGAGGACCCCGAAATTTTGTCTTTTAAGTCGTTCAGGGGGAAAGTTTTCCATTGTGCCAGGCATTTCTTCGGGATTTATTTTTACGTGATTTGGTTTGTATTTAGTTATCATTTTTGTTTCCGATGTTTTTTTTCCGACGCTGCAACTTTCTTTTTCCCGGGGAAAAATGTGTCGTTCTCAAAGCCTTGGATGAAATGTTGGATAACATGCAGTGGTAATTGCCGTTCCCTTCAAATTTATCTCTCCCACGTCAGTCTTCCCCCTCGCGCTTAAACTTTGTGTATTTTATTTGTTGTATTTCTTTTGAATGCTATCTCCTCCTCCCCCTTCCCCGCTTTTTTTCCCTTCCATACAGTCACCTCAGTGGGGTTGAAGTTTTGTTTTCACAAGGGTTTTTTAAAAGAAGACTGCGCTGACACTTTACCTTCTTTTCCCACCACCACCACCACCACCACCACCCCCGACAGGGACTATCAGGTGCAAATAACTACACTTCCACTCACTGCCGCCGGCCTCGCCGCCGCCCGGGGGTTATGTAACACAGTCGATAAAACTTCATGATGCCCTTTGTTTCCAAGGATACATTTTTTAAGCAATACACAGCTGAAGACGCTCTTGTGAGATCTAAGAGACATCACAGGGTACATGGGGAAAAACAAAAAGAGGACCCTTTGGGAAATCCCCCAACCGGGGATCTGAAGAAAGAAATATTTGCTTCTACTTTGGGTTTAAAATTAAACCGCATTTTCTAGGGATAAGATTCAATGACAGACGCAGAAGTTCTTGGCCTCGCACTTCCTCCCTCACGCCACATTCCCCCGGCAACTGTTCTGAGAGATAATATCTTTATTTACTACAAGTACATGTACAAGGTATACAGGCCTAGCTGACATCAATGACATACTACTATATAGAAAGCCCCTGGTTGTGCTGAGCATTTCGGGCAAATTAGATCAGTGTTCCAGGATGCGACCCACACCAATCTACTAACACCCAGGTACCCATTGTACTGATGGGTGAACATAGACAACAGATGGAAAGAAACACGCCCAATGTTTCTACCCTGGCTGGGAATCGAACCCAGACCCTCGCCGTGTGAAGCGAGAGCTTTAGCTCTCGTAAATGCGTAAATATTCACGAGGAAAATAAAATATAATAAATTCGAGTATTTCAGTATATAATACATTAATTATTACGTTAATTATTTTATAATACTATTTTTAATACCAGAAAGCGCTGATGTAATTCATTATTCATCATTCTTTAATTAATTATTCATTGTAGATATTTTTAAATTAAAGAATCGCTACTAAAATGATTGCGTTAAACACTTTTAATAAACTGCTTAGCATGGCTTAATGTTTAAATATAAAAAATTAACTGGGTAATATTTTAAAAAAGTCAGATTTTTTATTAATGTGTAGTGCTAAATGGGCCTTATTTGTGAGGATAAATACGCCATTGAAATAGTTTAATACTTCACTTACAAGCTAAGAGCTCTTACCTAACTTCAGCTCTTGTCAAAGCACAACCTTACTATTGCATACTGACTCCCATTTGCCACAGGATGCGATTTACAGCAATCTGCTAGGTGAATAGTCTGGTCTTTTTGTGTGCTATCATAATTTTACACGCTTCTTCCTCTTCTTTTTGGCGTGTAAACACGCTCAGCACTGCTGAGCGCCTTTTTTTTTTTGTTCAGTTCACACAGGACTGGGCAAGGTAACGCAGGATCTAGTCCTGGCTAAGCCGCAGTTCTGTTAATGATTTAAAATCACTTGTTTCGCGGTTTATATATATATGCAATAAGATCACAGTAAACAGACGATTTCAGAATATGCAAAACAACCACTGTGAAAGACCAGAGAAATTCCAAGCGCTTTCGTGACTACTCACATTATCAGGGAACTATGATAATGTGAGTAGTCACGAAAGCGCTTGGAATTTCTCTAGTCTTTCACAGTGGTTGTTTTGCATATTCTGAAATCATCTGTTTACTGTGATCTTATTGCATGCATATATATATATATATATATATATATATATATATATATATATATATATATATATATATATATATATATATATATATATATATATATATAATATATATATATATATATATATGTGTGTGTGTGTGTGTGTGTGTGTTTGTGTAATAAATACACCAATTTCAGTATTTTTGTCTTCCATCCATCACTAACACTTGTTTATGGTACAATACGTCTTATAGGGAAAAGGGAGTTTGTAACTTCAGAATTTCCCGAACCCAAGGTCAGATACACGTTTATGATCAGACAAGGTGCATGTCATCTACCCAGTGGCCGTGGTGGTTTCCTATTTTGATGTGGTTTTTCCTGCATTTAGTAAACGAAATCTTAAAAGCGGAAAACTAGTAGTTGCAATAATGGTCACTTCCAAAACAACCAAGCTTGAAGCTTTCACCCTCCACTTCACCCACTTCCCTCCACCACCTCAGCAATATTGTTAATCTAATTCCTTGTTTGTATAGAAAACATGGGAAGTATTGCTTGCGTTTTACATTCAGAATATTATTAGTTTCTTTTGCAGGTGATTTTCATGATTCTTACTCAATTTGCAAGTTATAATTATTTTTTGTTGTTAATCGCGACAGGTGAAATAGGAAGAGCATGTTATGACCAGCAGTTTTAGGGGTGAAACTTTAGCCATGGACCTTAACCGGCCTGCCGCCTCTATCACCTTCGGCAAGAAGAAGGGATGGTTTGTAAACAGACAAACTGCATTGATGCTCTCACTTCTCTTCGCGGTTGTCATTGTAGCCACCGGACTTCTTGTCTACTATTACGTTCCGCATGCCCGGAAGTCAGGGCAAGAATCTATGGACCGGAAAGACATCAAAGAACGTGCATCAAAAGTGAGTTTTTGATTTTTAAGCCATTTTTTTTTTTTTTTGGTTAGCTTGCGGTTCTGTTACAGGGTATGTCATCAATTTCTTGAATAGAATGTCTGTAATAGTTAGAATGCCTGTAATATTATTTAATCCTAAATCTTGCTTATATTTCTACGGTTAACATGCCCTTAATAATAAACAACAGTAAAGTTGCTGCCGTTAATATGCCTCTAAGATCTCTTAGTTATTTTCTGTAAGACTTATACATTGTAATCAGATTTATACTTTTAGCTTGACTGTAAATCGCCATGAACTGCAGTCAAGTTTCTACTGTTAGTGTGCCTGTAACTTTTATTTTATCTTCCTCTGTAATAAAGTTTTTGCAGTAGATTCAAAATACCTAAAATTTCATCAAAGATTCGAAATGTCTATTAATTTTTTTCTTCGTGCCGTCTGAAACATTTGTGTAGTCTTCATATTTGTCTTTCAGGTCAAAAGCACGACGACCTTATAACTTTATTTCCATTAAGTAACATATAATGGTAAAACTGATACAGAATTAGTAATTTTTAACCACTACTGTGATTAAGATTATTCTGCAAACAATTTAAGTGGACTGTGACTCCTAGTTCGAACCTCCCAGCATATTGTTAAAGATCGCTTTTGTATTATTTCCCACAGCAGCTCTCCGCAGTCTCACCTGTTGTGACTTCTAACACCACCGAGTCACCTCAGGAGAAAGTAATTGTTAGACTACCCAGAGCCCTTAAGCCTCTCCACTATATGGTTAAACTTCAGCCTTTCGTCAACGGCAACTTCAGCATCATGGGATACGTCGAGGTGGAGATGATGGTTGCAGAGCCAACCTTAAACATTACTCTTCATATTGCTGATATAATCACGAAGAACGAAACTATCAAGGTTGGTCTTCCAAGCAAATCGGGTAAGAGGACAAAACGATATAAAACTTTCCATCGCTTGAATATCTTGTGGTATAACAGTGTCACGATATGAAAATTCCTGTGTCTTCCAACTTGTAATTTTTACAGGTGGTATCTTATGATGACCCAAAGGAACCCAGGATAGAAATTTTGCATCATGTTTTTGACAAAGAAAAAGAGTTTTACATTGCTATGTTAAATAAGGAGCTAAAACCTGGCAAGAAATACGTTCTTTCCATGGAGTTCGTTGGCTACCTAAATGACAAGCTCACAGGCTTCTACAGATCTTCGTACATGGATGCACAAGGGAATAAAAAGTGAGAATTGTTTTTATAAATATATTTTTTGTTTTCTATGCTTATATATGAGTCCTCTGCAGAGTCATTACCTGCACCTATTCTCCTGTCTTGTAGGTGGATTGCTGCAACTCAGTTCCAGCCAACGAGCGCCAGAAAAGCTTTTCCATGTTTTGATGAACCTGCGATGAAAGCCACTTTTGAAATTTTTCTGGCCAGGGAATCATCAATGTCTTCTCTTTCAAATATGCCGAAGTCTGAAACAACACCAATGTAAGATTATTTTTTTCCGTGATTTTTTTCCTAAATTTGTTGTTACATTTGCACTCTGAAATGCAGTGGATACCTTTATTAAAGTCAATGTTTCGCCCACGCAGGGGCTTTACCATTTCCTTGCGTATGCGAAATTTTGCCGGTGTAGACATATATTGCATCTAACTAATTCTTATTCCAACTTGTTAATACATATCCTTTGAATTCCACATATATACTGATCATATAGTAAATGGTTAAGCTAATTTGCTGGTATATTTGCTTACAACTCCCCCAGCGAGGGTCAAAATGGGTGGGTGTGGGACCACTTCAACACGAGCGTGCCCATGTCCACCTACCTGGTCGCCTTCGTCATCTCCGACTTCGCTAGCATGGAGTCCAACGCCAGCGATCACGTTCTCTTCAGAGGTAAGCAATGTTAAACCAACTTTTTAATATCACTTAATCTTTATTTAATGAACATCTGTATATCACGTATGTAGATCATAGGCCGAGCATTATGTAAATTAATAAAATTAATATTTATGGGGAGGATGCCAGCCACTTGAAAAGTAGAAAAAGTGTGTAATGCATCACAACACTTCAAAAAGACGGTTTTTCAAAATACTATTTGATACAAATGTAAAATCTTTACTATTTTTTCTTCTGTACTATTACTACCTTGACTACTACTACTGTGACTACTACTACTATGACTCCTACTATACTACTACTACTACTACCATTACTACTACAATTACTATTTTACTACTACTATGACTGCTGTAACTACTACTACTATGACTCCTACTATACTACTACTATGACTACTACTACTATACTACTACTATGACTACTACTATGACTACTACTATGACTACTACTACTATACTACTACTGCTACTACAATTACTACTACTATTACTACTATACTACTACAATTACTACTACTATTATTACTACTATTATTACTACTACTACCTCAATATTTGCCAAAAGATATGTAATAAATTGTATATGTTCGTGTATATGTATGTTGATTCATGTATATCTATGTTTATGGATTTCTGTACGAAATAAAAGTTATTGATTGACTACTACTGCAGTTGATGATGCTGTTGCTGTTACTATAATCGCTCCTGTCTGTCTCAACTATTGGATCACTAAGACAAGGTCCTAAATGCACTAGAAGACAAAAAGAATGCAGATGTAATATATACAGACTTTGCAAAAGCCTTCGACAAGTGTGACCATGGCGTAATAGCGCACAAAATGCGTGCTAAAGAAATAACAGGAAAAGTCGGTCGATGGATCTATAATTTCCTCACTAACAGAACACAGAGAGTAGTCGTCAACAGAGTAAAGTCCGAGGCAGCTACGGTGAAAAGCTCTGTTCCACAAGGCACAGTACTCGCTCCCATCTTGTTCCTCATCCTCATATCCGACATAGACAAGGATGTCAACCACAGCACCGTGTCTTCCTTTGCAGATGACACCCGAATCTGCATGACAGTGTCTTCCATTGCAGACACTGCAAGGCTCCAGGCGGACATCAACCAAATCTTTCAGTGGGCTGCAGAAAACAATATGAAGTTCAACGATGAGAAATTTCAATTACTCAGATATGGTAAACACGAGGAAATTAAATCTTCAATCAGAGTACAAAACAAATTCTGGCCACAAAATAGAGCGAAACACCAACATCAAAGACCTGGGAGTGATCATGTCGGAGTATCTCACCTTCAAGGACCATAACGTTGTATCGATCGCATCTGCTAGAAAAATGACAGGATGGATAATGAGAACCTTCAAAACGAGGGATGCCAAGCCCATGATGACACTCTTCAGGTCACTTGTCCTATCTAGGCTGGAATATTGCTGCACACTAACAGCACCTTTCAAGGCAGGTGAAATTGCTGACCTAGAAAATGTACAGAGAACCTTCACGGCGCGCATAATGGAGATAAAACACCTCAATTACTGGGAGCGCTTGAGGTTCCTAAACCTGTATTCCCTGGAACGCAGGCGGGAGAGATACATGATTATATACACCTGGAAAATCCTAGAGGGACTAGTACCGAACTTGCACACGAAAATCACTCGCTACGAAAGCAAAAGACTTGGCAGACGATGCAACATCCCCTCAATGAAAAGCAGGGGTGTCACTAGCACGTTAAGAGACCATACAATAAGTGTCAGGGGCCCGAGACTGTTCAACTGCCTCCCAGCATACATAAGAGGGATTACCAACAGACCCCTGGCAGTCTTCAAGCTGGCACTGGACAAGCCCCTAAAATCGGTTCCTGACCAGCCGGGCTGTGGCTCGTACGTTGGTTTGCGTGCAGCCAGCAGCAACAGCCTGGTTGATCAGGCTCTGATCCACCAGGAGGCCTGGTCACAGACCGGGCCGCGGGGGCGTTGACCCCCGGAACTCTCTCCAGGTAAACTCCAGGTAATAATACTATTAATAATGTTAGCTTACTTCTATATTACCACCACCGCATTGATGCTGTACCTACAACTGATGTATTACTTTATTAATACAGCAACGGTAATGCTAATATTACTAAAAGCAACTGCTATGTTTCAGTTAGTTTCACTTGGTTTCACTGGAGTAGGCCAAAAGGTTTACTGGATTACTGCGGTGCATCTCTTTTCTTGTGTTAACATCAAGCATACTGTACACTAGTGTACATTCTTCTATCAATAAAGTTACTTCTACTAATAGCCAACATTTAGTTAGTAAATCTGGGAAGATCACTTAATGATGGGAAGAAGGCTGGAATCCCAGTGTCAACATTTGGTATAGTTCATCCCCTCAAGGAAAGTTCCTTGATGCTGGTGAGGGGGTCTTGATCTAAGGAATTGCATCTGTCCTTCAGTTCCCAGAATTAAGCCTGAATACTTTCCACATCTCCACAGGCACTGTATAATCCTACGGGTTTAGCGCTTCCTGCTTGACTATAATATTGTTCATGGGAGCTAACATGATGGAATTTCAGCTATTGTTTTTATTGTATTTCAGTGATGGCTCGAGAGTCTGCCATTCAGCAGGCAGACTACTCCCTCCTTATAGGTCCGGAAACCCTGTCTTATTTTGAGGAGTACTTCAACGTCACATACCCTCTCCCTAAGCAAGATATGGTCGCCATTCCTGACAAGGATGGTCCCATGGAGAACTGGGGACTCATTATTCACAGGTTAGTTATAATGTTTAATATGACAGTTTCATCAGTGCTCAAGTATAATTTGTCATATAATTTCGTGTCATCCGTGAACATGGTGATTTACGATAATTTAGGTAATTTATGACAATGATTCCAGAGGAACTCCACTTGTGACGCTCAGCCTCTAGAATACTTCGAGGTAAAGTGCTTCGCCGGTATGGTCTCTGCCGGGTCGATATTTTATACCATTTCTCTCATCTCCTGTATAAACCTGAACACATACACGTCATTAATGATCCTGTGAATCTGCAGGGAGTCGACGATGTTGTACGACCCAGCGGTGTCGTCTACGATGGACAAGAAGTCGGTGGCGCTGACGGTGGCTCACGAACTCTCTCACCAGTGGTTTGGCAACCTCGTCACACCCGACTGGTGGTCAGACCTTTGGCTCAACGAAGGGTTTGCAACATTTATGCAATACATCGGTGTGGATCATGTGAGTTATGTGCTGGTAAAAGGTGAAGGAAATATTAAATTAAGGAAAATATACCAGTACGTGAACATGTTTTTATTCCAGCAATACAGAAGACACTAAACTAATTGTTGATGATGGGTAAAAATGGAATATTTCACTAAATTATAGTAAAATGTTATTCACAATTCTAAACTATAAAAAATTGAAATCATATTATGAGTGATTGAAATTCGATAATCTTACCCTCCAAAAATTCTGCCAGATAGTTTTGAAATACACCAGTAATTTTCTTAAAAATCATCCAGGATCAAACAATATTTGCACTGAATGACCAGTGTGAACTTAAAGTTTTATGATACGCAACAGCACTTTGTATATTCAATTTACAAGCTTGCCTTACCACGACCACTTTTTGCATAGGTTGAACCTACCTGGAAGATAATGGAGCAGTTCATACCTGATGTGCTCCAGAGTGTGTTTACTGTAGACTGGCTGGAGACCTCACACCGCCTCAGCTTCCCAGTGGAACATCCGGATGAAATTAGAGAGATATTTGATATTATCACCTATTCTAAGGGTATGTTTATCTCTATACCATCTAAAATGTGCATGTATCAAAATATGTAATTTAAAACATTTAATATATAATTTTTGGTATGATTATATTTCACATTATATTAATAATTACACTACATATTGCTAGACAAGACGCAAAATTGTTTAGTTTACCTGGAGAGGGTTTTGGGGGTCAACGCCCCCGCGGACCGGTCTGAGACCAGGCCTCATGGTGGAGCAGGGTCTGATCAACCAGGCTGTTACTGCTGGCCGCACGCAAGCTGACGTACGAACCACAGCCCGGTTGGTCAGGTACTGACTTTAGGTGCCTGTCCAGTGCCTTCTTGAAGACAACCAGGGGTCTATTGGTAATCCCTCTTATGTATGCTGGGAGGCAATTGAAGAGTCTTGGGCCAGTTGTATGATTCTGGGACAGAGCTTTTGATCCACGAAACTTTTAGTGTAGGGAAGATGGATGATACCTCGGACTGAGGGATCAGACAGTAAATGTCTTGTCTCGACATTCAGCATTAATAATTTAACAGATGGTGTTAAAATTACACTTTCAGCAAAAAAAAGCTTCATTAGCACAATGTGTCACTCGGGAGCTTTATTGAGTACATGGAATCATATAAACAGTACCACTAAATAACCCTCACATATTTGTGTATTGTTCCATTCACGGTATTGTGCCTTTTTGTTCTTTAAACAATAGCATGTAGTGGAGATGAGGTTCTGCTGGGTCAGGTCAATCACTACTGGGCCACATCAGGTACCATTACAGGTGAGGTGAAGTGGTGCCGAGGTGAGACGAGATCAGTGGACCAGGTTGTATTTTTTGGGTTAAATATGTTGATCCAGGATTATCTCTGCAGTTGACCAAAATCCCGCACATATTGTTAGTGATCCAAAAAGAACAGAGATATAATCATATAACTGCTTTTTGCATGAGAAAATTCGAGGAAGGTGAAAACGTTTTTGATGTATGTGTATTCATTCGGTAAGAATTCAGTTGCAAATCTGAAGGGCGAATAATTAAGAGTATTGTTACTGAACCAAAGCGCTTGGGGTCCTGCACAACACATACAAAATACTCTCCGCAAACTCTCAACACGGATGCCAAAGAATCCCTCACGAAAGTAAGGAAGAATCTATCACATTCTACACTGGGCAAGAAAATCTGTTATCCTTTATCCACCATCCTCAGACCTGTGCACATCTATGGTATCCCCCAGAATAGTGAAACTCAGTGTTCTGCTACGCACCATTATCGCCGTCCTCGGCAGTGCCCCTCGCTCACTTTCACGTCTTCTAGATCAAGAGATTGACGTTACTGTGAGCCATTCCTTTCAAGGGCGTTTCTTGAAGCCCTTTGAATTGGACCCGTGAAACTCTTTCTTGGATTGAACCTCAGTACCTTCCATTCACCCCTAGGAGCTGTATACTCACACAGGTTTAGTGCTCCTCTATGAATGCAATAATAATAATGGCAATAATAACAATAATAATTGTGTACCATTGCTCCCTCACATCACAAACGCATCGAAAAAACTGTCCCCAGATTTCCCCTGCACATCACGAGCCTTGCCGCACTCTATACCAAAACCTATAATGAATTCACCAAAACATGCCAGTGTGGACACATGCGCAGTATCAGCTTATAGTATACCATATGGTGGTTGTGATCACTTTCGGGTAGGCAGTGACATGGAATTTCGTAATAAACTGCAGGAACTCAATTATGTATACAGAATTAAGAACATGAACAATACACTACAGCACTCTCACATGGCATGAACTAGAAACAAGAACTTCTGATTTGCAAAGAAAATGGCAAACAAACATAAAACGGAGGGATGTACATTTTGTCTAGACCTATTGCACAGAAAATCTTGTATCAACATAACCTCAAAATGTCACTTCTTGACCCTTTGACTTCGCCTCCTTGTGGCATCACTTGACTTCACCTGTAATGTCACCTGACCAGCAGTGCCTGACCAGACGCAACTGACCATCTCCGTATGCTTTATATGCAACATTTTTATATACTCTGTGTACTTAATAAGGCTTTCAGTTAGTAGAATATTCTATTAGAAAAGTTTCTTTACCGAAAGTGACATAATTTGTCATCATTGTGTCCAAAGCTCGTTCATAAAAATTTGTTTTCTAGGTACGATTTAATGAAAAGTCAAAATAATTACATTAACTTAAAGTACTGGTAAATAATCTGCTTTTTCTCGTGCATATGTTGAAAGTCGGTGTTTCTGTGATTGAAATTAAAGTGTAAACATAAGATATGCTTCAGACAACTTGCTAAATTATTACTCATTAAGCTTGTGCTAATATATTTACTATTTTATTTTTATAACAATTTGGAAGTGAAAGAACCACAATAAGTATTTACACAGGAACTATCAACGTCATGTGTTTGAACCCCACCCGTGGTAACGTCATGTGTTTGAACCCCACCCGTGGTAACGTCATGTGTATGAACCCCACCCGTGGTAACGTCATGTGTATGAACCCCACCCGTGGTAACGTCATGTGTTTGAACCCCACCCGTGGTAACGTCATGTGTTTGAACCCCACCCGTGGTAACGTCATGTGTTTGAACCCCACCCGTGGTAACGTCATGTGTATGAACCCCACCCGTGGTAACGTCATGTGTTTGAACCCCACCCGTGGCACGGTTTGTTTGCAATATTGTCATTATGATTTCATGAGTCGGTTTGGTTTGGCAAGGTTTGTCAGGAAACAGGACAAGTTTCATGAGGCTCATGACGCGAGTCTTAGTTATATGATGACCCACAGCTGGAGCTTTTGGTCATCTGACCGAGGCCTTCCGCTGGCTTTAAAATATGTTCATAGATATAACCATTTAGGTTATATAATAGCATCACTAATGGGTTGAAACAGGACATTTCTTAAAAGAATTTATCCCTAAAACACTATCATGGAATATTACATTTTGCATAATAATTAGCCAGAATATGCATCCATATTATGACAGTCTAAATGAGTTAGTCTGAAATACTATAAAATTCGAATTATTCCCATCACGTATTTAAAGCAACACATCGGGAGACTTCGAACAGTTTACACTTTGTCAATTGAAACCTGTTGTGGAAAACTAAGTAACCCTCACAGAATATCCATATTCATCCATGCTATATTACAATCCTTCATTTTATGTATTTTTGTAAAAATTGTCCTAAGTGTTATTGTGAGCCTATAGATTAGGACATTGCTTAATTATCTGAGACGTGTGTGCAAGACATTTCATGTATCAAGTAAGGTCAAACAGTATTTATACTCTTGTTTAATTTTAGAATGTATCGATAGTTAGTTATTATTAAATACAAAAGAATGAAGAAACAGAAGAGGTACAATGCATTTGTATGGAGTGTTATTATATATCTTAAATCACTTTGGAAATTCAGTTCTGTGGTTGTTAGGTGCTTATTTTTCTCTAGTACTGTACATAAAATCCTTCATTCCACATTAATTTTTAGATTCCTAATAACAATTGGTGACTGAATAGTAGAGCATTTGTTAATATATTTGACGAGGATATTTGCGAAGGAGTATATAAAAGACTTATTTACAAGTTTGAGAAGTGCAATGTGATAAGAAAATGTTGATGTCTGGAGAATTTTTTTTAGCTCGTTAATAAATTAAGCTTCTCAAAATAATAACAAAAGTCTATGATACAGGGGCGTCTGTTATTCGCATGATGACCTACTTCCTGACGGAGAAGACCTTCAGGAAAGGCGTCACCAACTATCTTACAAGTCTGTGAGTACCTACAACTTTTTGAGGGGTAAATAACAGGTTTTTCTAGAAGTGCGGGCAGTGAGGCAGTTTAGTTTTCATTTGCCTCAGTTATTTACTATCACATTTTATTCCTGATGAATGCACACACACAAACACACACGACGCCTGTGCCGTACTATAATTATAAAAAGCCTTCTAGATTTAGGTTATGATTGTCTTTATACCTGGAGTATACATGGAGGATATTTTGGGGGTCAACGCCCCCGCGGCCCGGTCCTTGGAAAGGCCTAGTTATGAAAATAAATTATAGCTTTGCAGTTATTAAATCTTCGCACAAAAACTTAATTACTCCTGTAATTAAATCTCTGCGCTCACAAATTCTAGTTTCGAAATATCACAGCAATTCCAGTTTACTTAATATTAAAATTAGAACCAATTAACTAATATAATACATTTAAGCATGAAACAGATGCAACAGGCTATTTAAAGAGTTAACAAGCTATTTAAAAGGTTAACAAAAATATTTTAGGTTAAAAATATTTTAGAATATTGATTTCAAATACAGTATTTCAATATAACTCGGATAACCATAATACAAAAATTTAATTTAACAGATATTCTTACGGAATGTAAATGTGTTTTAGTCGAGAGCTTTTTATCGCAGTAAGTCTTCAGTATTTTCTGCAACAATGCAGGATTATTATTTTTAAATAATATTAAGTAATAACTATCTTTTGTATTGTTCCAGAGAATTCTGAAGTCTTAGTTGAAAAACTGTTAACCTGAATTCATTGATTAATATTTTATTCAGTCAATAAGAAACTACTTATCAGGAAATATAAAAATGCTGAGCAAGACGACCTGTGGCAGTACCTGACAGTAGCTGCTCATGAAGACGACACACTGCCGAAAGATATGACAATGAAGAAGGTCATGGACACCTGGACGCTGCAGATGGGTTACCCTGTCATCAAGGTTGTGAGGAGCTCAGACGGCACCTCGGCAAACATCACTCAGGTTAATTATTTACCAACGTTTTGTTGCTCAAGAGAAATTTTTCAAAGGGATATAATACAAAAAAAAAAAAACAATTTAAGTAAGTTTTACACTTTTACAGGAACGATTTTTGATGGTATGGGACCAAAACTATTCAGACACTCATTTCTACAAGTGGTGGGTTCCACTAACATACACGAGTCAAGATAACCCAAATTTCAACAACACTCAAACACAAGTATGGATGAAGGATTATGAGGCAAAGATCACAGTCTCTTCTCTGCCAAGGAAGGACCAATGGGTCATCTTCAACGTACAGGAGATAGGTTTTTATAAAGTGAACTATGACGACGACAACTGGAACTTGCTCATTAAGCAACTGAACAGCGATCACAAAGTTATCCATGTGATAAACCGTGCTCAGATCATCGACGACGCCATGGACCTCGCACAAGCTGGTACGTCTTTGTTTATTTAGGTCTTGTAGAGGAATATACTTTATTTTGAATACCTTCTGGAGAGATTACTTTATTTGATTACTCCTAGGAATTAATCATTACCGTGTCACTTTCGCGTTCTAATTCTACTTTACTTATCAATTTACTAAACACACACACACACACACACACATAAATATATATATAAATTATATATATATATATATATATATATATATATATATATATATATATATATATATATATATATATAATATATATATATATATATATATATATATTTATTATGTATATGTATATATGTATATGCAATAAGATTACAGTAAACAGGTGATATCACAATATGCAGAATAACCACTGTGAAAAATAGTAAAATTCCAAGCGCTTTCGTGACTTCTCACATTATCAAGGGAATGTAAAAATAGAAGATCAACAGGAAGGCATATAAAAGCAAGACTACACCTCAGTCACGTCACAACACCCGACTTGGTGAAACACAACTGATACTCTTCCCAAGCATTAAGATTTTTTACATGTCTGATGTATCTTAAATTTTTCCTAAATTTGATTAATTATAAACGAATCCAATTTATCTAAAACAAAAGCAATATTCATATTATTTTCAAACCTATTTTTTATGAAATATGATTCAGTTATTTTACTGATGAGCCTATAAATTTTTAAATTCATCTTCACCTTGCATAGTATCTTAATCCTTGGGTAGAGTATCAGTCGGGTGTTGCGACGTAACTGAGGTGTAGTCTCGTCCTTATATGGCTTCCTGTTGATCTTCTATTTTTACAGTTCCTTGATAATGTGAGAAGTCACGAAAGCACTTGGATTTTCACTATTTTTTTAAGGTGGTTGTTCTGCACGGTCAGCAGGACTCGATACTGTTACTGAGACGGACAAGATTCCCAGGCAGCACTCTTATCCACTCAGCCATAAATGCCTCAAAAGCTGGGTAGCCTGGTTCAGAAGTCATGTTTCTTTCCCAGCCCGGGCACGTCAGTGAGCCTGAAGCATGGATTTAAGCTAATTCAATCTCTTCCTGTATGTTCTGACCTCTCAAGCTTGTTTCTGCGTGGTGCATTAATATAAAAATCGCATGTAAGGTCAGAACATACAGGAGGAGATTGAAATAGCTTGAATCCATGCTTGAGGCTGACTGACGTGCCCGGGCTGGGAAGAAACATCACTTGTAAACCGGCTGCCTAGCTTTCGAGGTATCTGTAGCCGAGTGGTCTAAGGGCATCACTTGAGGGACTTTGCTTGACTCCCCTGACGTGGTTTGGAATCATGCTCTCTGCGATCTTTCTCAGTATATACTTCCGCTTGTTTCTTCGTGGTGCATTGTGAGATATATATATATATATATATATATATATATATATATATATATATATATATATATATATATATATATATATTATAATTTAATTAGGCTATTGTGTCGTCTCACTAATACAAAGTAGTGTTTTAATATTCTTTCCAATTATAGTTACTACATTTTTATTTAAATTATAAGATAAATGAGATTTTCTACACTTTTTTTTGAAGTGACTGACACTTCTTTGTGCTCATCTGCCAGGTCAGCTATCCTACAAGACAGCACTGGACGTGATTGCTTACTTAGGAAACGAAGAGGAGTATATTCCTTGGGAATCTGCTCTGTCCAATCTCGTTTACCTAAAGAAAATGTTCATCCGCTCGAAGCACTATGGCGCACTTAAGGTAAACACTTGCTGGCTCGGTAAAAAAAAAAAAATCTGAGACAATTGATGTATCAGCAGTTCAGTACCCGGCGTGTTAATGCAAGTTCTTTATTACTTACTGTCAAAATTCTCTCGTGATCTGAAAACTAGCTAAAGTATTTAACTGTTCATGCAGACCTTCACTTTTGAGTCATCTGAAATTATCTGCTGTGATCTGAGAAAACTTGAATGGAATGTAACTATATTCATTATCTACCCTAATGAAATTTATGATTCTTTCAAGGTGGGTGTGTGTACTCACCTATTTGTGCTCGCCTATTTGTGGTTGCAGGGGTCGATTCATAGCTCCTCTGTGTGTGTGTGTGTGTGTGTGTGTGTGTGTGTGTGTGTGTGTGTGAGAGAGAGAGAGTGGATAGCATATAAGGTTGAGGACTATCTGATTTTAGGTTACAGTCATTGTGAGGACTATCTGATGTCAGGCTACAATCATTGTGAGGGCTATCTGATGTCAAGCTACAATCATTGTGAGGACTATTTGATGTAAAGCTACAATCATTTTGAGGACTATCTGATGTCAAGCTACAATCATTGTGAGGACTATCTGATGTCAAGCTACAATCATTGTGAGGACTATCTGATGTCAAGCTACAATCATTGTGAGGACTATCTGATGTCAAGCTACAATCATTGTGAGGACTATGTGATGTCAAGCTACAATCATTGTGAGGACTATTTGATGTCAAACTATAGTAATTTCGCTTTATAATATTTCAATACTGACACCTTTTTTTTGAATGTTCGGAACCAAGCAGCAGAGAGTTTTGGAAAATATCTGAACCATTCCAGGAAGATTACCTGGACAGGGTTTCGGGGGTCAACGCCCCCGCGGCTCGGTCTGAGACCAGGCCATGGAGAGAATGGATTCTACAATTTTTCTAAGAATTTTGCACTAGCTACTGTCCAACTCTGAAAATTTGAAGCCGATCAGACGAGGTCTTCTCCAGTTACGAGTGAAATAAAAACGAAAAGTTGGAGGAAAAGAAAATTTGCTTGACGTTCAGGAAAAAAACGTTTCAGCAATACAGATTCGCAAACGTCGAATATTTCTCTTATTTATCTACAGTTATCTGAAAGTGATGATTAGTGATGCCGATTCATGTGAATTCTAGAGGCCATCGGGAACGGGGTCTAAAGGAAGTGCAATAAGCGTGAATGTTTACTACGTCATTCACAGTGTGGTTTTTGTCAACACGGGAAGCGTAAATGTCTCACTTTTTTATTTTCGTGGTTAGACGATTTACCGTTGGTGTCCGCATGGTATATCGTTGGAAAAAAATTGTTGGCGGAGTTCTTATAATGCTTGTAGAAGGTTGAAAACTCGACGGGACATTAAAGTGATGTATATTGCATGCATGTGTCTGTTTATCTGTACATCTCGTGTCAGTTTGTCAGTACATTTACATATGTAACAGCTCTGCGACTAGCCAAGGACTCGAATCCATGTTGTTTTGGCCCGCCTCATGGTAAGCGAAAGCATATGACGCTTTACCCCACAGGACCACGCAATCCTACAAGAACCAAGCACTCAGCCAAGCTAGGTGTGTTACCTTGGTCTGAGGACATACGGTGGTGTGAGTGCCTCTGAGCTAATTTCTTTCTACTCCCCGTTTGGTGTAGAAATAAAATACTGCTTTTTGAGGCTAATACACCAAACGGGGAGTAGAATGAAATTAGCTCAGAGGCACCCACACCACCGTATGTCCTCGGACCAAGGTAACACACCTAGCTTGGCTGGGTGCTTGGTTCTTGTAGGATTGCGTGGTCCTATGGGTTACAGCGTCATATGTTTTCGCTCACCATGAGGCGGGCCAAAACAACATGGGTTCGAATCCTTGGCTAGTCGCAGTGTTATTGATCAATACCACTCATTCGTAGTTACAATATTATATACGTAAATATGTGTCTTAAACATTTTTCGTTTTATCCTCTCTTGAGAATAGAACTACTTGCTCAACCTCCTGACTCCGTTATATGAGTCTGTCGGCTTCCAAGACAACATAAATGATCCTCATCTGGAGCAGTTAAAGCGGGTCAAGGCACTGACGTGGGCCTGCAACCTAGAGTACCAGGACTGTGTCAACAACTCAGTTTCACTTTATCAAAAGTGGATGGAGAACCCATCTAACCGCAGGTAACTTTTGTAAACAATGCTTCATGTAGTCAAGGAATTTCGCATTTTGTGCTGTTTTAGAAGGAAAAAGTGTTCGGATTATCACTGAAAGCTTAAACACATTTTGTATGAATATTAATTCATAGCTCCAAATCGCTTCTACAGCATTGTGTCCCCTAACTTGAAGAGCATAGTGTACTGCACCGCTATTGCTGCTGGTGATGAGGAGGAGTGGAACTTTGGCTGGAACCAGTACCTCAACTCCAACGTTGGCTCTGACAAAGAAGTAATACTTAGTTCACTAGGTTGCTCTAAGAAGATCTGGATATTGTCTCGGTTAGTTCAACTCGTTATTTGCTTCTTTGTTGTATGACGTTCCCACATGATATTTTTCGATACGTATTATATAGCTGTTGTTTTTCAAATTAAAATGCAAAGATTGACATATGGACAATATACTTGCGATTTTAACGTTTTCCTCCTTTCAGTAATATATTAAAAGAAATTTTATTATTCTAACAGACTAGTCATTAATTGTTAATATGACATGTGGTCCAGATGCAAAACTTTAGCTACCCCACAGGTACCTTGATATGGCTTTCTCAAATAATAGCGGTATGAGGGAACAGGATGCACCTATAGCCTTCGTCGCTGTGGCCAGAAACAGTGTAGGCCACTACCTAACCTGGAACTATGTTAGGGATAACTGGCAGAAAATTACGGACTTGTGAGTAGGACAAACTAATGTTGTCATTTTCTGTTCAACAAACTCGAAACACATCTTTCATTTTTATAATGCAAAAAAAAAAAAAAAATGACATGAAATTCACTTTGAGATTACAAAGATACATTATTTCAGTTTTGGGTCTGGTATATTCGTCCTCTCCAACATCATTGAGAAAGCTACTGAGACCTTAAACACACACCTGGAAATGAAGGAGGTACGTCGACATGAAAATATATTTGGGTTGGGAAATAAAAAAGTGAGAGGATAAAAATTATAGCAGTGTTTTAGAGAGACGTTAGAGGATTTAGGGAGCATGTAAAGTTAAGAGGAGTGTAGTACACGAGTAAAAATATGAAAGACGAGAGAATGTTATTTGGAATGTGACGAAGGAAGAGGTGAGGCGAGTGTGAGAGCAGTCTGGAAAAGTGCATCATTGTTTACTTTGACGAGTGGTAGTAAAATGTTAGCTATATTAAATAAATCAAGATTATGCAGAGAGGAGAGCACGTAGTATAAAAAAATGAAAATATGGAAGAATGAATGCTAAATGGCATAATCAGAGGGGAACGGAGATCGAAAAAAGGGATTCGTGATGAAGGGAACTGCACACTAGCTGAGGGAAAGAATTGAATAAAGGAGAGGGCTGAAATTTAGAAAGAGTCTCAATTTTCCCGGGGGAAAAGAAAAGGTTGGGGTAAGGTTTGTGGGGAAAAGAGGACGCAGGCCCGACACGGGCCCTTAGTCATATGAAAAACCCCCCAGGGGAGTTTTTGGGTTTCATCTGCCCGGGGCCTTCCGCTGGCTTCCCCGGGCCCCCCTTTAAAAAAAATTTAGGGGTTTTTTGGAGAGAAACAGAACTACGGGGAAAAGGGGGGGAAACTGTGTTCCTTACCCAAAAATTTACGTGATACACACTTTAAAACGTATATGATTGTTTGTGTTTTAATTTTTTTTTTTCTAGTTGAAGCTGTTAAAGGGAAAGGCACGGGGGCGAATTCGACCAGAAAAACCCGGGACGGGTTGATCAGTCTTTTAAAGGGAAATTTTAAAATTAACATTGCCTGGAGCCCAAAAACCCCCAAAAAATTTTTGTTTTCTTTTGGCTCAGGGGCCATGTTTTTCCCCACCCAGCTAAATTTAAAGTCAACCTGTCCCCTGGCCCCCATTTAGCAACTCCCTAAAAAAAGGGAAAAGGGGTTGCTTCATTTTCGGTAATCTTTGAACTGATATTACTTATATATCACTTATTTTTTTTAGAAATATAGAAAATTTCAGGAAAAAAATTTTTTAATATAATATTAATATATATAAAATTTTTATATTTTAATAAATAAAAATATTATATATATATATATATAAAAATTTTAAATTAATAAAATATATACAGGGGAAAAGTACAATCCGCATTTTAAAGGGGGGGTTTTGGGATTTTGGGCCCTTTTGGGAGAGGGATATTTTTAATGTATCCTTTATACTTTATATGTTCTAAACGGTTGTATTCTAAAGAAATCTGAAAAAAAACCATGAAAAAATGTGCGAGTGTGGGTAAAAAGTTTTAAAGGGATGATGAAAGTTTTTCTTTTTGGGTATTTTTTTTTCCCTTTTTTTGGGTCCCCCGGGCCCCCGGTGGGAGACGGCCAAACTTGAAAAAAAATATATATATTAAAAATTTTATGCTGTGGGTTCCCTTTTTGTAAACAAAAAAAAGGGTAATTTTAGGAAACATTTAGGTAAACTTTCTGTATTTTTAAAGGGCAAATTAACCCAAAATCAAGATTCGAACCCGTCAGAGTTGCTTTTTAACGTCTGTGAATTTTTTTCAAGAATCAAACTTGTATTTCTAAAAAAAAAAAAATTTTCCCTTCCTTTCCCTTTTGTAATGAATATTTATAAATTTTTTTAAAAAATTTTTAAATGTTTTTTATCCCACTTTATTGATCATTTGGAACTTTACTAATTTTTTAAAAACCTCTTTGGTAAAGTAATTTAAAAAAAACTGTGGGGGTATACTCACCTATATGGGGCCTGCAGGGGTCGATTCACGCCCCCGGGCCCCTTTTTTTGTGTGTGCGCGCACCTAATTCAGGCAGAGGCCTATGATACCCCTTTCAAAATAAAATTTTGAATGGCAACCCCCATGATAGAATAATCTGGGTTATGCTGGACTGATTCTTCCCCCATTTCCCCCCAAGAAAAGTTTGTGGGTGTTTCCCCAAAAAAAATTTGCAACCTAACTAATTTTGTCCACCGTATGTGGTGTCTGAATACTAAAAATTTTTTTTTTGAATATTTACTCTGGTAAACCTGATCTTTTGGGAAATAATAAAAAAGAATGATGTACGGGGATGTTTGGGCGAAGAATTTTGTGATGCTATAAAGTTTAAAAGGGAAGATAAGAATGTTATGAAGAAAACGGAACATGTACCGGGGGAGCAGCGGGTGAATTGCGATAAATTAAGAGGCACTATTTTGGGGAAAGGTGAACATGAATGATGTTTTTTAAGTGGGGTTGTGACCGATGTTGAAGGACATTTAACTCTGAGTAAAAAATAATATCTGATGCTGAAGCAGTCACCCATTATTTACGTCTCTTTTTCCCCGCCCATATTTTTTTCATCTCCATTTTCTTTGCTTAATTTTTAAAAACTCTTATTTTTTCTTTGAAACTCTGGCTGTCTAGACTTTCTCTTCTCACCTTCCTTCTTTTTTTTTTATTCATTGTTTGGCTTTTTTAATCTAGAGAAAAAACCAGAAGTGATAAAATTTGTTTCCCTGTTGTCAAAACCTTTGCACGTTTAAGGGGGTGACTAAACAATTTTCCCTTTTCCCGAACCACAATGAAGAAGTTAGTTTGGGCATGTTAGTGACAGGGAGCCCGTTTTACATTATGGGCACCTGGGCTTTTTGGGGTTTTTTCCCGCTTTTAAAACCAAATTTTCGAGTGTTCTCCCTCACCCGTGATTTTTGGGGCAAAACCCCGGAAATAATATAGTCATCACATGGGAAAATTGCCCTGTTCCCCCTCTGCGATATTGTAAGGTCACATTAAATTTTTTGAAATTTCTCTTTTTTTTTTTCCGAACTTTTTTTCAGCTTTTCTTTGATAAAAGATTTTAAAAATCAAATTTTTTTTTTAAGAATACTTTTCATTGGTAAAAGGGAAAAGGGATATTACTGACATAATTTAAATTTAAAACCCCCGGGGTTTTGCAGAACTTTTTTGGGCAGCTTTAAAATAACTTATAAACCCACTAGTGGGGGTTTTACAAAACATTTTGTTGGGAAAAGGGTTTAGTAAGATAATTTGCTATAAAATTTATTTTATTTTTAATGTTGGTCGATACCCAAAGCAATCCCACTCCCAGATTTCAGTTTATGTACGAACATACAAAAAAATAATGAAAACCCCCAAAAAAAGCATAAAATATCCAGCTTTTACTATACAAAAATTTTTCCCTTTGTTTTAAATTTATAAAAAAAAATCACAAAAAAAATATAATTGTCAAATTTTTGCAGGGTAGTTTCTTTGTTACTTAAATTACAAAAACAAAAATAAAAGAGATAGTAAATTTTTTAATAATACTGGGGGAGTTGGAAAGCTGGGAAAAAAGGGACACAACTGGGGTTTAAAACAGGAAGGTTTAGGTTTTCTTGACTTAGTGTATTGCTGTCGTGATTTCAATTCAGTCTTTGTTTATTTCTAATTTTTTTTTTCCCCCCGTTCTCTCCTCTCGCCCGCGCTGTTGGCCCTTGTGGTTTTTGCGCTACCCCTTTTTTATTAAAAAATAATACTGTTTTCCTTTCCCCAAAAAGCATCCTCTTTAAAATAGACAGATACCTACTAGCTTTTTGTCAGCGGTTGTCATGTTTAATTAAAATTTTAGTATCTATGGGGTTGGGTTAAATGTTTTTCGCCTTGCATTTTTTAATTACCCTCTGGGTCACTTGTTTTTATTTTTCAAGGGTTTTCCGCCCCCCTCTCTCCCCGTGCGCACCGAATAACCTTTAAGGGTTTAAAAATTTTTTGGCCTAATAAATTTTTTGATCGGCATCTGGGGAAAAATTTTTATTTTTAAAAACATCCAAAAAAATGTGTTGGTTTAGGGGATTTTTATTGGTTTTTGGGGTTTTTCAAGAAGAAACAAATGCAATTTAAAATTTTTATACCCAAATGCATTATGTATGTGGTTGTGTTTGGGTCGTTTTCTTTTATGTTTGTTAATTTTTTTTCCCTTGTTTTTGTGTGGTTGGGTTTATTTCATTTATAGTTTGAGCGCTGAGTGACCCGCACAAATTTTGTTTGTTAAGCCCTTTTTCTAGTCTACTGATAAATACTCAAACACTATTACTAGTGCACTGATTCTAACTGCTTTCACCCATTACTAGTCTTTCTGATATAGCTATCACTATTTCTATGTACTGAACTGCTATCACTATTATTACTATGCACTAAAACTACGCATCACTAATTTCAGTGCTACTGAAAACTGCTTTCACTTTTTTCTAGTGTACTGAATTTCTACTCTAAACACTATTACTAGTCTACGATACTAATGCTATCACTATTACTAGTGCTACTTTATACTGCTATCCCCTATTACCCAAATGCTACTGATTTCTACTGCTTTCACTATTACTATGCAAATTTATGCTACTCTACTATTTTCTAGTTTCCTTTCTGATACTACTGCTATCACTATTTCTAGTGTACTGGAAAACTACTGCTAACACTATTTCCAAATGGACTGATAATACTGCTATCACTATTACTAGTGCTACTGATAAATGCTCCCCCCTATTACTAGTCCTAAAAGGGTACTCTGCTGGGACTATTACTGTGCTACTGGAAAATATGCTACCCCTATTACTTTGTGTATGATTTCTTCTGGTAACAAAAATTTCTAGTGCTACTGATACTGCTTTTCACTATTAATAGTGGGTACTGATTCTACGGGTTCACTATTAAATAGTGCACCCGCAAACCCCTAAATATTACTAGTCCCCACTGAATACTTTTTTTCACTATTACTAGTGCTATGAACAATGCTATCACTATTACTAGTGCTACTGATACTGCTACCACTATTACTAGCCTGTTTACTACTGTATCACTATTACTAGTGCTACTGATATACTGCTATCACTATTACTAGTGCTACTGATACTGCTACCACTACTTTTACTAGTCCTACTGATACTACTATAAATATTACTAGTGCTACTGATACTGCTCCACTACTTTTAATATTTCCTACTGATACTACTATCACTATTACTAGTGCTACTGATACTGCTACCACTATTACTAGTCCTACTGATACTATCACTATTATAGTGCTACTGATACTGCTACCACTATTACTAGTCCTACTGATACTACTGCTATCACTATTACTAGTGCTACTGCTACTATTACTAGTCCTACTGATACTACTATCACTATTACTAGTGCTACTGATACTATCACTATTACTAGTGCTACTGATACTGCTACCACTATTACTAGTGCTACTGATACTACTGGTATCACTACTGTTAATAGTGCTACTGATACTGCTACTAATATCGCTACTGCCATCACTACTGTTACTATTACAACTGTACTACTACAGTTATTACTACTACTACTACTACAGCAGTTTGCATATTAATTGGGACACTAATGAAATAAGACATTTATTTGAAAAATACACGGCAATAATATGATAAATAATTGATTTAATAAGAGATATGACTATTGTTTTTATAAGCATTGTTACTGTATAGCCCTTGTGGCTTAGCGCTTCTTTTTTAGTGTAAATAATATGTTTTTTTTATATTTTATTTAAAACTCAGGTACAAAATATATGGGTACATAATTAATATGTAACAAGATACAGGCAGTAAAACGATAATCTGCAGTGACTACATAAATACCAAAGAAGCACTTATATAATGACATCAGAACTGGCTGCTGCACTCCAATCAAACACTACTTTTATGTACCGTGCTTCACGTGAAAAGATGGTCTTATAATAAAAATGA